TGGCCGTGCTTCCCCTGCCTCCTGTGATTGCTCCTATCGGCGTTGCGGCGTCGCAACTGAGTACCAATTGCTGTGGCTTGGAGGGCCATGCCAGAGCCAACTGCATCAACTGACCAGCTGTGGCCATTGCATGTGAACCCTGAATGTGCGGTGGGTCATGCCTTGAGGCATCTCGGACCTGCAGTGGAAGCTGCAGTGCACCTTCTGCCGGACCTGACTTCGACGGCTTTTCGTGGACACGACTGGGCTGTCCATTGAGTGAGCACTTTCAAAACTGAAGCCGAGAAGCCAAGACGGTCGAAACACATTCAAACGCTCTTTGCAGCCAAGGTCTGCATGCAAAACGAACAAGCATATGTGTATGTATATATGTATATATGTGTAAATACATATATATATATATGTATCAGCACATAATACAACATATCATATTATATTTTGATATAAGATAAAACCTACAATTTACAATATGGTATACAGGACTAAGTAATCTTGTGACATACGTGCCTACACATTTATATACACATACATACGTACATACGTACATACATACATACATACCTACATATACATACACACATCAAATACAATAGTATGTAATATCATCAGGTTGCGTCTGCCACTGCCAAGGCTCAACTGGTTCTCATATTCAACCAAAATATCCTAAATCCGAAACTCTAAGACCACTTTCTCGAAAGCCTGAACTACAACGTTGCACCTCTGGGGAGGGCATCCAGCGCACGACCCTCAAAAGGGCACTGGCTGGCCAACATACACCGTGTGCATATACATATATGTATGCATATGTACACAGTCTTTTTCGAGATGTCCATACATCCATCCATATATGAACTTATTGTTTGCGTGTACATACATGTAATTACACACAGACATACACGCATACATACATACATGCATGCATGCATGCATGCATACATACATACATACATGTATATGTATAGATATATTCTGCGTGGTCGTGTACAAAAGTGTGGCTGTGTGTGTATGTATGTATGTATGTATGTATGCATGCACGCACGCACACACGCATGCATGCGTGTGTATATATTTATATGTATATGTACAGGTATCTGTATCTGTATACGTATATGTACATGTAAGCATGAAATGAAAGCTGCCGTGAATGCTTCCGGCTGTCACAAGAAATGGCCGGCAAAGCTGCTGGTAAAGCTGTCGCATCTTACAAGCATGGCGCCCAACATCGTCAAACGATCGCACTCCTCGGCCGTCGTTCACTTGCCTCGGGCCTTTTTCGCTTCGGGCACGCGTCTCTGTCAACGTCAGTATGCTTCAGGCATGGGCTTCATTGACAGGGAGATCCTGCATCCAGGGCAGGCAATCAACCAGCAGCATCTAAGACATGGTCTCATGTACTGCAGGGGACGAACGTGAACTTCTTTTTGGGCTATCCTGCTACTTCTCGGTGCAACTACACGTAGTAGCAGGTATCACGGCACACCTCTTCGTGCCGGGGTCCACCTGGATCACTCTGACTTGGACTTCCTGTCCCTCCTCAGAAGCAAGGAAGGCAATGCCAGGCTTCTCTTCCACATGATAGGCCACACACCGTTTAGAGTTTGGAGCTCTGTGCAATCTCGTATTTATCGTCATGGCGAATAGAAGTACTGCTGGAGTTTTGGGGCTCTGAGGCCTGAGGCCACAGACATTCAGAACATGGAACATTCCAGTATTGTATCAACGTACTCTTTCTCGAACGTGCCTTCACTTTAGACTTGTTCCTGAGACCCTCATCGCAACATAGGAATTCCGCAATCTGGAAGCATCTGAAGCACTGAGGTTGCTGCATCAACTTCGGCCGCTGGGTCCCCAACCCGTCCATCCTTTCAGCTTGCTCCGAAAGTCGTGGCTGGGTTCAGCATCTCTTTGCCGCCAGGGTGCTCGGATTTCCGAGATGTGAACGAGGCCCATGCCCTGCCAGAGGACGCCAGCAGGCGCTGCCATGGGTACTCTGCAGCACAGCCACGGCCTCTCCCGAGTTGTCCGGAAAGGGGATCTGCAGGCGCAGACAGGCTGGAAAAAACAGGCTTTCGTGGTGACGCCCGAGCTTACTTGGCGTCCTATGTGCTGTCAGCTGCGCCTTCACGAACACTCCAAAGGGAGCTGCATGGTCCACCCTCAATCAAAGAGCCACAGGATTGTAAACCGAACGACTGCCGAGCGAGCTTCCAATGTTGCAGCAAGCACTGCACTGAGCTACGAACGTGCCAGTGAACCACGTGTCTGGGGAGACGTCAAGAAGCGATGACACGTCCTTCCGCAAAACGATGGCTTCCGGCCAGAGACGCATGCAGACTTTGAACTTCCAGCTGAGTACCAACAGCCTCCCCCCCCCCCGCCGTGCGCTCCTGATCTTCCAAGCGAAGCCTGGCGAAGACCTTCCGCATCGAAAGCTTGAGCCTGCCGGGCTTTTGAGCTTCTTGGCTTACTCCAATCTTCAACCCAAAAAGCCCCAAAGTCCATGAGCCTACACATCAAACCGCTTCTGAATCTGCGAAACTCGGCTCGGGCCTCGAAGTCGCGTCGGTGACTCGTGCCTGAACTGTCTGTCCCACCTGCAAGTTCTGCTGTCCAAGCCGCTTTCAGGCTCGTTTGAGGGGTCTGTGATGGGGCTCTGGGGCGTGATGCATGCTAGGGTTTGTAGTGTTCACGCGACTATGTTTCAACTTCTTTCCACAACTAAGCATTGCTCAGACTATTTTGCACGTGTGTCTGTGTGTGTGTTCGTGTCTGTCTGTGTGGAGCATGAAGACACTTTCTAGGCGAACCGAAATGTTGGGGTATTGATGACTAGGTGAAAAGAATCCCAGAAGGCAAGGAAGAAGAGCCGGACTGCTGTCATCCTCGTCATTTTCCACTGGGCATTCATGTCACTGAGACATAGAGGAACCTTGCACGGACGAGCCTATCACCAGGTTTTGCGAGCACACCAGTTTTTAAGCAGGACTCCCTGCAGAAGAAGGCGCAAAATACTAGAAAGATCAAACGACGTAGAGCCCGTGGTCCAGGCTGCGAAAGAGCAGCCCTTTTCACTAAATCGCCACAGGCCTCCAGCCATGGGCTTCGGTCACACGAAGCTCGTTGTAGTCAAAACTCTTTGCCCGCGACTGTCTGTCAGACTGCGAGATTGATGTGCCGAGACAGCCTACGAGACCAGACACCACGAATGCATACACATGCTACTCCCACAGTAGCATGTGCGCGCACCAGGCAGTGGCGAGCAAACTAAAGCTGCACGAGCTTTAGCACGTGCTGTTCTATGCGGAAACGCCAAACTACACTTCCGACGCAAGAACAGAAGGGACGATAAAGTAAAAGCAAGGGGCTGTACCAAGGGTGTACATACAAACCACTAGCTTGTAAGCAAAACAGTGGGCCTTCACGCTTTCGCCGGTAGCGAGCATGTACAAAATTGTGATGACGAACAGAAAGTTCCAAAAACTGCATGCCAAAGCTGGGATTTCTTGCTGGGCCCAAAGAGCTTCCAGCATCCGATGAAACCCTGGCGGAGACAGCACAGCAACTAAGACAAACAACATAGCTCGAAATTGGCGGGCTCCCAGCAAAACTGGAAGCGTCCGACGGCCTACTTGGGCATCGCCCTTTAGATCCCGTAGGTCTGCAAGGAGAAAGAGGATTGAGTAGTAGGCGGCGAAGTTGCCAGCCCAATCCCAGAGTGCTTTGTTATCAGCAGCTGGTCCGAGTGCCGAACGCATGGACACAAAGAAGTGGATCATGAAGATCATGGGCATGAAAACGAACCCTCGAAAGATGAAGTTTTTGTCCCAACCAACCGCATACCCAAACGTTGCCGAAAAGCATAGCGCACATGGGATCACCAGATCGTAAAGGCACGATGCAGCTAGACAGACGATGGCCACAGCACCACAGCGCATCTTGCACCCCCCAGACCTGAGTGTTCGGTGCAAAGGGTACCAGAGTCATTCCTATTCGCCCTCTTTATCCGGGCATGTATCATATCATCATAGTCATCATATCAATCCGCTGGGTGCATGGCATGTTCCTATCTCAGAGGAGCCTAGGAGCTGTCATCAAGCCCTGGGGGATGGGCCGCCAAGGTTTGTTGACCATGTCCTCTTCCACGCCACTCCACTGGTTCACGAGGTCAAACACCGTCAAGTAGAGGAGGCCCATCATGGCGGCAGCGATAGCGCCGCTGCAGGTGGCTCCCGTGGTCGCAGTGGCCGTGGCGAGGTACATGACGACGACAGGCGTAGCGCCGGCATTGAGGTTATCCTTGAGGAGGTAGACAAGCAAGTTGCACTCCTCCCACAAGCTGTTGAGGAGCCCTTTCCCTTTGTCCGGAAGCTTGGCCTCGATCCCTGCAACTGGGCTTTGCACACCCAGGTCCATGTCTGAATCTCCGCCGGAGTATTCAGACGCCACGCTTCGGGGACTCGCCGTGGATACCTCTGAATGCGATGGGGAAGCATCCGCCTTCGCTGTCGACATTGCCATCGCTGTCTGGAAGTGCTCACGGAGCGGAGCTACGGCTTCCCCTGCGTGCTGTCGCCACCTCTGAGCCAAAAACTTGGCATGCTCAAAATGTCGCTACTGAATTGCTCTCGTTGCTGTTGCACTCGTTGGTGTTGCCATCGTCGTGGTCATCCAGACGAGCATCCTCCCTGACACTAAGCCCAGCCTCGAGGACATCAGCTGGGTGCTCCACGAAGCCCTCCTGCACTGTGGCCACACATGACCCCACATGTGTCCATTAAGTGGCTAAAAGACCACAGAGAAGGACTTGAGAGTTTAGAGGGCGAAAGGAAGGCGTAATGTAGGGCCCTCCAGACATAAGTGCTTTGGCTTCATGCTGTCTTCTCGCAGCTCAAGATCAGCAGATTTGAGACGCTTCCTCTGACAACTACTGAGCTCTCGTCACTAAACCCTAAACCGTGCCTGGATCTGGCTTATGGGGATGAAGCCGTCCACCAACTCACCGCCACCAGGGGGTTGGACCTAAGCACAATCTGTCGGATACTGGGGACTTCGTCTTCGTTCTCTTCGGGGCTGTTTTTCTCAGAAGGATCTGATTATCTGGGATTTTCTGAGGGTCCGGTGCTGTCTGAAACTGCCATTAGAGGTTTGGGGGCGAGATGCATGGCATAGCACAGGAGCACCACTGCGATTCAAGTGAGAAACGAGATGAGCACTGCCTCCTGAAGCGTTCTGCAGCAAACCGGCGGCACTGTTGTGGCGAAGTCAGCTTGCAGCATTATGCAGAAATTTGCAGGAGTCGCTCAGTCAGCCGAATGCACACTTAAAGGACACTGAATTTTCAGAAGCTCAGCGCAGCGCTCGCACGAAGGCGCCGGCATTGCTCAGCCCCTGGGTGCATCAACCGCGTGTCGGTGAACTCGTCACTCCAACCTTCATGCCTCAAGAAACAGCTCGTAGTAATCCTTACTGCACTACTTAATGCTTTTGGAAGCCCCTATAGTGCTCTAACCCTTATAGTGATCTTCCATGCTCTCGGCCCCAGCAACTGGCACACAGAGACCCACCGAGGCTTGGAAGACCCCTCTTGGCCGGCTGCGGTGATCTCTGCCTCGAACCACTCGTCTGCGCTCACCTCGGGTCTCAGGTGGTGGTAGCAGTGACTGCTGTGATGCCTCCACAGTCACATCCGCGACTTTGGGGTCCTTAGGGATGCCTTCTCAGAGGAGGGGCCCCGGCCTCCTTGAAAGGCCTGAGGCTCTCGTCCTCGGCATTCTCATCAACCTCAGGCAATCCTAAAACCCTACACCCTAGCTGCTAGTGCTAGTGATATTCAGAGTCGCAGTGATCCGATCACAGCCGCAGCAATAGTTTTAGTCGGTAACGCGGAGCAACCGTCGACTACTATCACTGGCACTACCTAGAAACCTGGAGATCGACGAGCATTGGACACGGTAGCACTTGCAACTAAGCTTGGCATGCTTCCCTGTAACATCGGGGCCTTAGCACTTAGAATAGCCGTTTTGAACCTGTTGGGGTATGTCTTACAAACTGCTTATAAGGGAACTGTAAAGAGATACTACTAGTCCTAAACCCCTATGTCACAGAAGCCTGGTAGTAACCAGTTTAGATCGCTTCAAGGAGCCCTCATCTAGTCTAAGCCCACAGAACACTTAAACAGGGAATCCCAGGCATGTCTTGGAGGCAGATCTAAGGTTGGAGCCATGGTGAGGTCAAGGCGGCCTCGAGAGCAATCGACCAGCTTACTACTACTCCAACTACGACGACGACAAACACGAACTACTGCAAACAATAGCAATAGTAATTGTAAATCGTAATAGCAATAGCAATAGTGATAGTAATCGTAACAACAACGAAGACGATAACAATAACAACAACAAGAATAATACTAAGACGACATAGTAATAGAAATAAAAGATGGTGAGAGGTTGCGCACAAATTCACTCCATGAGCAGATTCAGCATCTCGGCCATGATTTCCTGAAGCGGCTTCACCCTTAAATCCTACGTACACTTTTACACCCCCCCCCCCGAAATTTGGAATACCCTAGACCCTAAACCCCCCATGCAGCTCCCACCGGCGCCTTGCGGGGATACTGCTCGGACCCAAACCTGTGCAAAAAGGCAATTTCGAAGGAGCGTCACAGGCCTTGCAGCAGGCCTTGCAGTAAGCTTCAAAAGGAGTTTTTTGGGGTTTAGGGTTTCTAAACCCAGAAATCCGAGCCCGAGCCCTAATCCACAAGGGCCCTAAGTCCATCTTCGCCCCCCAAAAAAAGTCTCAGGAAGGGGAGCTCGGAGGTCACGGGAGGCTCGTGTCCACTGCCTTGACAGTCTGGCCCGTCTGCACTGCCTGGGCCAAGACCGAATTTTTGGGGGCCGGAATGGCCGCAATGGTTAACGTAGGGTTTTGGGGTATGTTATGCTGCGATTTGTTCAGTATTCTCACAGGAACAGTCCTACTCATTTTTTCGGCCGCTATTCTATGCGATGAAATGTCGTGTCCCTCATACTTTGGCAGCGAGTGAGCCGAGGTATGGCTGCCCGTCTCATACTGAAAGCCAAGTTGCCTCTGAAAGCACGGGGACATAGCTCTTCGAGATCTTGGACCGATGAACAAGCCTAGGACGTGGGCATTGCAAACGCGTCATCCCTTCCATCTTCATCCACTTCTTGCAGCCCTCAAGCCTCCGGAATCAAATCGAGTCCGCGGCCCCTGTCTGTCGGCACCCACATCCACGAAGCATCCGAGCCTCAGTGCTGTCTCTCCTGCTGTACAATCAGAACAGCCGAATTTTTGCCTGCACTTGCCATGATACGATGCCGGGACCTACGCAGGAAATGCCATTTGCCTGGCATGCACAGCCGAGTTTACGAGGTTTCGGCTCCTCCACAACTCTCACGACGATGCCCGTAAGCTCCTGCCCGATATCCAGGTCCTCTCGTGAAAAACAGAAAGCCTTGAAGAGTCTGAGCTTCAAAGGTGATCCCTGTCTAATGTCAACCAACAGCTCTCAAAGACTTCTGTAAACGTCATTACTACTGCTGGTGCTATTTCTTCTTAACGTTCTAGTCCCCATGCTTTCGCGAGCATCGCTATGGCCTTTCTGCTGCCAGTATCGGGAATGTCATTGCTACAAGCACTCTCCTCATCAATCGCACGCATGCTTTGCCACATCCTGCCTGCACCCGCAGCTCACTGGGAACGTCATCTGACCAGGCCTCCTGAGGGTCTTCACCACAAGATGGCAACAGTATTAAACTAGTGCGTTCAAAGTCGGGAATCTCGATGCATGCAATAGCAACGGTCAATGATGACAGCGATCAGAAACCCGAGCCAACAGGTGGGACATCTTGGCTCCAGGTGCCAGCACATGTGGGAGTTCGGGCTTTCGCACAGCTCCTCGCTGAACAACGGCTCGTTCAAGGTGACCTCGGTGCCGAGGCTCAAAGAAAGGCACACGAATACTGACACTGGTGCCATCCTCGTAGAATCATCAAATGCACTCTCATTCTCGACGCTCTCTTTGAATTCTTCCATCGTCAGAGGCCACGACCTTGGCTCTCAGCGCCACTGCGGCCGCCCGAGCGTCCGCCATCCGTCTGGGCCATGTCCGCGGGTGCTAAGAACAGGGGCAGTCCCGAAGCTTGCTGGTGCCCCCCTTTCCGTTGCGATGTCGGGATTCAGCAAGTTGTGGTTTGCCTCATGGCCACGTAACTACAAGTAGAAGTTTCCTTTGCAACCATAACGGAAAAGCTTGCTCTGAAGGTTACAAAACGGCCCGATGTGTTTCCTGCATTTCAATGCGTCGTGTGTATAGAAGCACAAAGTGGGAGGCGTAATGCCCGATATGATATGCCGACTCGAAGCAGGAGATCCTCTAGTGCCCCCTTAGGTACGCAACATAATATGCAGACTAGAAATCCGATGCCCAGACCAAGATGCTCACTCCTGTAGGCCGAAGCACTTCAAACACGTCCCTGCAATCTTGTCCCGTCTGGCTTACATCTGAACTGTTTCGGAACTCAAAGCCTTGGAATGGCTGGCCTCTTCGCCAGGGCGCCTGTCAACAAGGCAGTGGCAGCCACGGCAAGCACCGGCGGCATCCCTGCAGCGACACATTGTGGGCAGACGCGCGGGACAGAATCAACAGACGACTTCACAGAGACTGGGGGTTCTGGATTCGTTACCAGGTCGCGAAGCAGAAACTGCCGTGGTCCGCAGGCTACAGTAGGACATCCTGCAGAATCCATGACATCCTCTGGGTTTAGGGTTTAGGCTCCCCGACCTACCCTAAGGGCATCCCTCCCGTCTTGGCCGGCGCCTCGCTCCGAGGCTTCGGGCATGGCGTGCCAAGGCCCCGAGGCCCTGCCGAAGGAAGTCTCGCCGCGTGCGCACCTCAATCTCGGAACTGGTTTAAATTTTGAATTTAATTTTAGTCTTAGTGTTTGGTATGAGTAGTGCTAGTTTCTTCCAGTCGTCAAACCATGTAGATGTAAACAGAAACAGGTGTGCCCCACCCAACTGGTGATTGCCATATCTGCATGTACTTCGTTACGAGGATTTGGGATCCGGCCTGGCTTCTCCCATGGGCGAAAACTTCGGTTGTGGGAGTCTTACTCACGACGCTGGATGATGGCTGTCCATGGCTCTTAGGATGCCAGGCATGGGAACAGAATGTGCACAAGTCCCCTAACCCCTAAATCCCTAAACCCTGAACCCCTGACTGAACCCCTAAAGCCTAAACCCCTAAACCCTGAACCCTGAACCATGAAGCTCACGCATCCTGAGAAGATCTCTGGACCCAGTGTCAGCCCTCGAGGGCACCTGCTCACAGGCGCCACGGGCGGCGCGGCACCTAGGGCGAAGGCCTCGCAATCTCGAGCGAGAGGCATTCGGAAGGTGGGTTTCGAAGCACTTAGGGTTGTCCCCGGACACTATGTACGGCTGTGCCTCGGTAAGCGCCATGGCAACCGAAAGAGATCTTCTGCAGATACGGCTGTCGTGTCTGATGGCTCAGGGCTGGCTCGTGGATGAATGGACTTGGCATTATTTAAGCCATTAATTCATGGCTGTAATAGTAATATGTGATACTTACGCACGATCATGATAACACAAAATACATCATAATCATATCCAACTACGTTACAAGGCTGAGCTTAGCTTTCAGACAGGACGGACGGCTTGAAGCCGTTGCTTGGCAAAGAGATTCCAACAGAAATGTACACTGCGCCTGCAACGAGCTGTTGTTTCGGTCTTGCATGCAGCCAGCCTTAACCCAACACGTGCAAACCAGGAAGCCAAAAGCCGCGGGCCGCCACCATGCGAAACTCGGTGCAACAAGGCCCCAGGCTCGATGGAACAACCTGACCAATGATGTAAAACTCCAATGTAAACCCTAAACTTCCCTAAACCCTACTTGGAGGCCACAGGGCTTCGTAAGTGGGTTATAAGTAGAGTTATAAGTACCCTAAATGGAGTTACCCTAATTATAACCCTACTTATAACTACCCATGAACCTCCAAGTAAACCCTTGGTTCGAATCCGACAACGGCTCCGGACTTCGCAGTGAAGGGACGTAGCTAATCCCGGGCCCCAGTCACCGAGTAGAGACGCGCCCTTTTTCCTCGAACGCCTTGCTGGCCATGAGAAAGGCCTTTAGGCCGAAATAAAGCGATTCTTTTCATTATCTTGAGCCCTGAAGCTTCTGAGGAGCTCTCACGATGAATTGCTCTGCAGCCCCCTTAGCCTCAGAGATCCGCACCTTGCGAGATCCCTAAACCGTAAAAGGGGCCCTAAACTCTGAACCCCCCCTTTATAAACCCCAAAGAGATCCCTAGGTCCCTAAACCCCTAAACCCTAAACCCCTTAAGCCCTAAATACCTAAACCCTAAAAGCCCACCAACCGGTGGACCTCAACCCCTAAGCTACACGATCAAAAAGGGATCCAAGGCCCGTCTACGACGAGGCCCGGAAGCGAGCGACAGTCTCCTCAAAGAGCTTCTGAAGCTCCTCGGCGGGCAGCTTGGCCTTGCAGAGGGCAGAAGGGGCGCAAAGAAGGGTTACTATAAAGGTGACTCTTTATTTAAACAGTACACTATGGCCATAAGGATTCACGAACGAGGGCTACGGTACTACTTGCTCTGGAGCTGGTGAAGCCTCTTGCCAGGCCTCCGCCTCCTGCATGAGCTTCGTCCGGGCTTTTAAGGCCTCCAACCTTACGCAGCTAAAACTCAGAAGGGGTCGAGAGGACGGCAAACGAACTGTGGCTTTTCGGCCTCTCAGCGGCCATGAGTCCGTCGGCTTCGAACTTTCCTTCCCCACCTGCCAAAGGGGTTCAGAACAGGGGGCCCGTCCTTCGGCAAGGTGTGACGGGTTTGATGGGTGCGCCTTTGCTGGGATCTCCTGTCTTGACAGGATCGAACGAGGTGCGCTGGCCGTTCACATGGACCACAAGGACCTTGATGGCCATACCTGGGTCATAACAGTCTTAATGGCACTCACAATGCCCTCGCTCTAACAAGCGCGGGCAAGGCACTGATGTTGGAACCGTCCTTGCTCCAGGCCTGCAAATATGATCGAAGTTGATTCGACCGTTGCAGCTTGCAACTGGTTGGCTGCAGGGCTGCCTTCTCGGAGTCTCCAAAAAAGCCACCAGCACCAAAGGTTCCGTACCCCAGTGCCTGCGCAGTGTCAAACACCCAGACCGGACGCATGCCCTGGCCACATTTCATGTACACCATTAGACACTATTCTGTACCATGGGGATGTATGTGGAAGATGGCCGGAGGGATCATGCGGACGAGGTGCGCTCGCGTCAAGCAAGTTCTGGCCTTCCTCTATCTCCTCAGAGGCAACATGTTTCTGTGTGAGCACCGGAGGGCGAAGGAAAGGAAACCAACAAAGCAAGTCGACATCGATCTGCATGCATTGCGAGGAGCAGAGGCCATCAGTCCGCCCTCGAAGCCAAAGCCTTTGACGAGGTCTCTGAAGCCCTGCCAGGCAGCGACAAGGGAAAACAAACACCTCGACGACAGCGCCCCAGGCCCCACTGTCACATGAGTCATGCCTCCAAGGTACCGGAGTCCTGTCGCGCCGTGCCGATCACGCTCAGAAAGGGCTCGCCCTGCAAAGCACCGTCGCTGAGACTGAGCCACACCTCGACCTCCCTCCAAAAATTCTGCAACGACGGTGGCCTTCTGGGGGCCCTCCGGAACCTTCAGCTGCGACACGGTCCTGCTTTCAGGAATCCGATGTCTGAGATCTTTCGAGGTTTGCCAAGAACTGTTGCACCCTACCCTGTCTGAACCTTTGCACACGATGGTTGAGACCCCTCATCAAAGAGCCCCTTTGCCTGAAGAAGCTCTTGGTGCCGAGGGTGTCCGGCAACATGGGCATCAAGGCCTTGCGACCCGCCTCGCGCACGTCGCCTCCTGGCCTGAGCTGTGGGTTCTATGCGCCAATGTGACTTAACCGCCGGGGGGAACTTCAGCTCCCTTGTGAATGCAAAGGTTGAGCTTGGGCGGATTAAGGGTGTCTGGTAGTCGACTCTTGGCATTTGGGCCGCCATCATGTAGCACTAAACCACCAAGCCTGGACTCCAAACCTCAGCCCTGCCACCATACCACTGACACTATTACGCTTACCGGTATATCCTGTCGGACTTGCGCTATCTTGTGCTCGAGCTGCCTTGAGCAGAGGAAGTACAGCGCATGCCCCACGGCCTGTGACATCGGCAGGCCTCATCAACTGCGACTTTCACAACGTGAAAACGAAGCGCAGGCAGACTCTAAGTCTAGCTTTCGCCGAGTTCCGGTTCCATGAGGAAGCAGAAGCTCGCACTGTAACGACTAAGATATTAAGATACATCGGCTGTCAGAAGTCTGTGGCTCTGGGATCTTCGGACAAAAGGCGCCGCCTGCTGCATCATCAACATCTGACAGCACAGCCGAGCAGACCTGAACGAAGGCCAGAGCCGCGACCGCCCCAAGATTCGTGGAAGCTTTGATTACCATACTATTTTGGGGGCTCCTTATTATCATTATAGTATAATGCCCTAACACCCTGTTCTAATTATTGCGGCCCCTACATTAAAGATATGGGTTTGGGCTCGGAGTTACTTCTGAGTCTGAACATGTTGTCGGGAGATTTTCAACATCTCGGCATCTGTCCCACGTTTTGCCTACGCAGGGGAGTGTTCTGAATTGCGACGTTATACCGTGCCTATATAGAGAAGCTTTATGCTGTAACAGGGACCCTGCTCATGAGCGACGCCATCTTTTGAAGCGACCAGGCCGCAACTACCCGGACACGAACATCACAGACCTGAAAAGCCTAGAGCAAC